GTATATTTCTTCACATGTTCATATTTTAGAGTTCTGTACTCTGTTTTACACTTATAAAGAATTCATCGACATCAATTCGCGTAAAGTTTCGATGATCAAACACTCAATCTACACACTCGATCAGCTCCACGACTCCGAATGACTACACAGTTCTAGACTCTTGAACAAAGTTCAATTATCAGATCACGTGACGAGTTTTCCCCGCCACAATGACGCAATAATTTCCTAACACCCCGTGGGCGCCCCCTTTGAATGGCCTCGTTTAGAGAGAAAAGTTGTCTAATGGAAAAGAGGGTAAGCCTGCCAGACTCCCAGTCAACCCAGGGCGCTCTCCATTTGTCAGAACTGACTGGCCAGCCCATTCCCATCGTAATGAGAATTTCACTTTTAATCAACATTAACCATCCAGATCAGTCAAATCCTACTCATTATGCACAAAGGCGATGGAAAACGCCTATTTCATTGCCAAAATGCCTGGTCTTGCCATGGTCCGGCCGGCCAGTTCTGACTTATGAAAAGCACTGTTAGGTTATGTTCACACTACACCGGGATGGCTCTCTCGTGGCGCCACGAAAAGCTATCAGTGTGAACATCCATCCGATATCTCACTCTCCTCTAGATCTTCAGAGATCGGCGCGGCGCAGCTTCGCCCCGTCACAGAAATCACGCCACAACTGTTCTTATGTGTGAACAAAAGCCCTATCGATCCGGTATGATTTTCATGGCGTCCAGTATAGTGCCGGAGCCAAGAGCTGATAACAGCGTTACCGCATGCTCTAATAATTAGTAACTTTAAAACCACGCGACGGCAACGAGAAGGTCGCTTAAAAAGTGAATTTGTACTCTTTTTTATTCATACCCACTGACTTTGACTGAATGTAGGTGAACCCAACTGGACTTGAATTCCTAGGGACCCTATCTAAGTTCAGAAAGAGAAATAAAATTTCGTCGTTGCTCGTTCGCGTTCCGCATAAGGGACCGGTCATTATTTATCGCCTTGAGGATTTTTGTTGCGACAGCGGAGCACCCGTTATCTCCCTTAAAGCATGCAGTGTGGGTTTGATTTGATCCCCCCACATCGACGGTAAAAGATTTTCTGATGCCCCCTCTTCTATCCCGGCCACCACAAAAGCCAGTGTTAATATATAAAGCCAGTGACATCTATATTAATACTTACCGTATTTATTCGAATAAGCGCCCAACCTCGAATTAGCGCCCATCTCGAATAAGCGCCCATCTTAAAGGCAGAAAAAGTTAATAAGCGCCCAGCCTCGAATAAGCGCCCACCCCTCCTCCTCCCAATCAAACTCAAATAAGCGCTCACCCCCACCCCACCCACTTGAGTGAATAAATTCTAATAAGAGACTTCCCCGAGGACGGAGATTTCTTCAGAGTATTTTACAGAAACATTGCTTTGTTACTTCTTCGAGTTTTGTTATTAGCATTTATTGTTTTGTTGCAAAATAAACATACTTCAAGTGCTGAAAATGGTGAAAATTTAATAAGCGCCCACCTCGAATAAGCGCCCAGTCTCAAGGTCCAAAAATTTAATAAGCGCCCAGCGCGGTTAATCGAATAAATACGGTAACCTAGAACAACAACTTCACATATTTGGTCATCTGATATGAACTGAATTGTCTGATGGTCCGTCCCTAAATCAAAATTAAGCTGCCTGTAAGAGAAGGTAACGCTTTATAGGGCGTTAGTCGCTGGTTTTAAGGAATTTAAAGGATCTTCAGGTTCCACATCGATAAATATCAGCCACAGAGAGAGAAATTTATTTCAGAACAGGAAAAAGCGAAAAACGCTTAAGTCACATGATTGCAAACGTCAAGTTTCACGTGACCCATGTCACGCTGTAACGCCATACAAGTCCGTAACACTGCCAAAAAAGCTCCCCAGGGACAGTTTTATTAAGGTTTATTTGCGCTCGGTGCCATAGCAACTGCTGCCATGGCTATCCTACTAGGAAAGAATACCCAATTCTAATATAAATAATATGAATCGATTCACTGGCATTCAATGACCATAAGTCAATTGTAAGGCAGTGTTCAACTTAATTTTATGCAATGGTTGCTGCATGTTACATCTTTCTGCAGAAAATGGCATCTTGAGTAAAATAAACACGTTTCGCTTGAACATCTATAAACCCATGCTTTTCAAGGAGATGCTTGAATTCTGGAGCTGATCTCTCTTTTCCACCTGTGGACACCAACATTAGAAGGCTGAAAATGAGAGTAGGGCCACGTTTGTCTTCGTTTAAAATCCGTTCGCAAATGAGGAGTCCCCCACCTAGAAAAATAAATGAGGTATGAAAAATGGCGCGTTGTTTGCCTTTGATGGCACCAGAGTAGCCTAAATCTCAGACGATTACTCCCAGTCGTTTTTAGTCCCCCAGTTACTGAGGGAGTTAAAACGTCTCCAACATTGTCGAAGTAATCGTCTGAAATGATAGATGATTGGTCATACAATAATCTTATGTGCCATTTCTATATGCACTGTCAACCGTCACCGTGTAGTCTGCATACTAGATTAAAACACCTTTTGTTACCAAAGCACTTCTTCATCAGTCAGTTCGCGGGCTCATTTCGCTTAAAGACTTAAGACCGTGAATTCAGAATTAAAGTTCGTTTTGGTTACAATTCATGAGGGAAAAAACATTGTAAAGCTGTTACGGCGTTTCTTGTAAGTTTGGAGTTTAATATGGGTGTGTTAAGTGTTTTGCGGTCACAAAGCCACGATTTTTGACGCTCGTGTGTAGGATTTCATTCACATCGATCATTTACAGCTTTCCTGTTTGAACTGTAATCCTCGATGCCCTCTCAGTTTGTAATTAAACGAGAGACATGATAAACCTTGTTTTCTTGATCCGAACTGTAAGTTACGTGCGGCACCTAGTATTTTCTGCTTGGATTTAATTTCATGCACGTACTTCCGTACGTGCGTGCTGGATCCGTTAAAGAACGGTAAAACCTTCTTTCTATTAAAATTACCTGAGGGTAAGCACTTGTAAACATTTGAAAGAATCAAGTCAACTTTATCCTCTGACCAGTCGTGGAGAACGTGAGACAACACATACAGCTCAGCCTTCGGTATGGTTTCAGGTTTGAAGAAATCGCCGACCGCAAATGAAACATTGGCTTGATTTGGGCATGCTTCCACTGATGGTCGGAAGTGATGGGCTAAACTCACGGCTGGCTCCAAGTCACAAACTGTTATCTTCATTTCAGGGTAGAACTGACAGAGAGCATAGGCGAGAGTTCCTACAGCCCCTAGAGCAGAGAGAAATATGGAATTTTAAATTTTCATTTCATAGATCGTTTGCTGTTTACCACATTTACAACTAATTTTCCGAAAATCTTGCTTGGATAGAATTTTTGTGTAAACCCAGCGAAAAATTCTTGGCAGACACGTAACCTCCAAAAAGGTAGCCTTGTTTTCCCCATCGGGAATGTTAAAAACGGTAATTAACGCGTTTCTCCATCTCTGTCTTATTTCTGTTGAAGGCTGTTGTGGCCATTTTTCTGCTAAATAGGAGCGATTTACACAATTTCTTAACGGATTTTGAACAGGAGTCAGACTTGCGAATCGTAATAACTTTGTCCCATCTCAGAGCTTTACATGATGCTCTCCGGGAAACTTTTCTCAAGGTGACTGCTAAGCGGCACCGAAACCAGCTTTAGGCGCGCGCTGATTTCAAATAACTGTCACTTGTGTTAAAGAAAGAATTGTAGGTAAGGAAAAAAATCGGGAGGGGGGGTAAGATAGTAATTCAGTCTACATCTACTTCTACACGGATCCCTAGCCACAAAACAAGCAAAAAAAAAAAAAACGACATAACCAACCAACACAGTAAACATATGTCAAGCTATTAGACAGGGGAAGTTGCGAAAAATTACAAATGTGTGCTAACCCGGTTTTCATAACTCCAACTAGACATAAACAGACCAGAATCTTACTTTTCCATTTAAAAAACATGAAATATTCGGCGGCGTTGCCCATGTTTCTAATATGGCGCGAAAACTTACTTTCATATGACAACATGCGGGGTTTTTTTCGCACGCTCAGGAGCCCAGTAAAGGGATGTGATTTTGCATGAAAAAAATATTCACAAAATTCTGCTTGACTTGTTAAGAAAATAATTTAACTAACAGCTCATTGATTTATTAATTTGGGCGACCAACTTGGAGGCCCGGGCATCCCAGCTAAGAATGCTTGGGGAGCCCGAAAGGCTCCCTGAAATTTTCCCTAGAGCACAGCCTTGCACCCCTGTAGTTATTGAAAGTATGATACATTACATGCTATTGTTGAATGTGGAGTGCATTTTTTGAGGATATTAGTAAAGGAATGCAAATTTTAGTGAACTACCCCATACTCCTAACATATATGGTGGTAATATTGATGTAAGTTTTGTTTTGAGTAGCAAAGGAACCCTTGTATGTAATTCATCTTCTTGTGTATTAGTCCTTAACAGAACATCTCCGTCTCTCCTTTCACACATTTGTTGCATACACTACTCAACTTTACATTGCCATTCAACATACTGGTAATTCTTTCTTACACCAACACATCCCGCGTAAACGCCTTCGGGCGTCTTCTTGTTGATCGTGGTTTCTTTATATTGCTCGTTCAGAGGAGGTGGAATAAACTTCAGCCAGTATTGTTTTCACAGCGCTGACAGGCAAAGGTTTAAAAATATCGTGTGATGTATTCGAACTTTCCGTTTTTTGACTTACCCCCTAGATCACAGCAGCTTCTGTACGCGCTTAGATCAATGGCTTTAACAGCAGCATAACTTGCATAGAGTGAATTACAATGCATGGCCCCCATGAACCGTAATTTGGCTTCTTCGGTGTTACAAACATTGGGAAACCAGTCTTCTGCAGACATTCCAAACGTCTTCTTCCACTGCGTAGTTCCTTCAAGAACTGCGCTTTCTAAATTTCCAAAGATAGGATACAGCGTTTTGTTTATCAATGCGATCATATCTAGATACGAATCTGGACTGTCTTTGGTGAGAAATTTAGTGGCCATTTCAGAATTACTGTACAACCACTGGTCACCCTGTTTGAATTTTTCTAGCAATTCCATTGCCACAAGGGTGTCCATGAGACGTGTAGTGGCGTCTAGATCGGAGGACAATGCCGTTGTTATATCGTCGGCCGATTGTGGTGAGGATGCGGATCGCAGTTTGTCGAAGACTTCCAGTTCACATGCTGCAAATAGCGCTTTAGACAGGGGCACCCAACGACAATTTTCGGAAAAATATCTGTTGGGAAGACGATTTGAGATCTAGAATTTTCGGAACATTTGTTGTAAAATTTCTTGCTTGCCTGCCTCTCCTAGGATTTTCGGACATCTAAAGAATGGTATAATTGCCTATTTTTAACGGATTTTTACCCTAAAAAGGTCAGCTAGAATTTTCGGGAGCCTTTTTTCTGGCTAAAATTTTCGAAAAGGTAAGTTTTGATCCTTATAATTTTCGGATCACTTGACTTTCAGCTAGGAAATCCGAACAGATGAAAAATTTTTAGGGGATAAAAATATGCCATACCTACCGTTTAAATACTAAAATACGTTTAACAATTCTATGTTTAAGTGGTTTTGAACTATATTCTCGTTGGGTGCCCCTGTTTAGACAGACGAAAACCGTCTATTAGCCTATAAAACTTCTCTGGCATAGGAGAAGGAACTTGAGTTTTTTTTGTTTCCCTCATTTTTTTTTTGTTTCACTCATTTTGCGTTATACACTGAGCAATGAAATCCAAGCCACTTAATTGACGCTAGTAAAAAAGCTTCTGCCCTCAACGTCATTTAAGTCTTAAAATGGGGACGAATAAATTAACACGGAATCCATCCATCATGAGAGCCCGAGAAAATAAAAGTCAAATTTTACAAGAATTGTGAAAACATAGGTAACATTCTGAAAATTTCATGTGTAAGATGTCATTTTGTGCAATTTGACATACGTTTTCTAGGGCTTCCATAAGAGATTTTCTTTGGTGTTATTACAGATAACTAATTACATCTATAGCCCTTGAAAAATGTCAAAAAGAATGCAATATTGTTTAAATTATTCTGGTACAAGGTTTTTGTCCACTGAAAATTAAAATTACTCAATTTCCTTAAAGTAACTGGATTCTAACCGGCTCAAAACTAGTTTGGCTATTGCATGATCAGCTTGATATGCTGTCGTGTAATACCCCGTGTCACGAATTATGTGTGAGCCAGCCAGTTCCATTTAGCTTTATTTCGTCAATCCCTTGAAAGTATATTTCTTCACATGTTCATATTTTAGAATTCTGTACTCTGTTTTACACTTAAAGAATTCATGGACATCAATTCGCGTACAATTTCGATGATCTACACTTAATCTACACACTCGATCAGCTCCACGACTCCGAATGACTACACAGTTCCTAGACTATTGTACAAAGTTCAGTTTTCAGATCACGTGACGAGTTTTTCCGCTACAATGACGCAATAATTTCCTAACATCCCGCGGGCGCCCTTTGAAAGGCCCCGTTTAGAGAGAAAAGTTGTCTAATGGGAAAGAGGGTAAGCCTGCGAGTCTCCCAGTCAACCCAGGGCGCTTTCCATTTGTCAGAACTAACTGGCCAGCCCATTCCCATCGTAATGAGAATTTCACTTTTAATCAACAATAACCATAAACAACAGTCAAATCCTACACATTATGCTCAAACGAGATGGTTTTTCAGCAAAACCTCTTGGAAAACGCCTCTTTCATTGCCAAAATGCCTGGTCTGGCCATGGTCCGGCCGGCCAGTTCTGACTTATGGAAAGCGCCGTTAGGTTATGTTTACACTACACCGTGATGGCTTTTCCTGGCGCAAGCAGAACTATCCGTTATAGTGTGAACACCTATCCGATATGTGACTCTCCTCTTTAGAGATCGGCGCGCCGCACGTTCGCTCCGTCACAGAAATCGCGCCACAACTGTTCTTATGTGTGAACAGAAGCCCCATCCGGTATGAGTTTCATGGTGTTCGGTATAGTACCCGAGCCAGGAGCTGATAAGAGCGTTAGCGCATGCTCTAATAATTAGTGACTTTAAAAGAACGCCACGGCAAGGAGAAGGTCGCTTAAAAAGTGAATTTGTACTCTTTTTTATTCATACCCACTGACTTTGACTGAATCGTCTGATGGTCCGTCCCTAAATCAAAATTAAGCTGCCTGTAAGAGAAGGTAACGCTTTATAGGGCGTTAGTCGCTGGTTTTAAGGAATTTAAAGGATCTTAAGGTTCCACATAGATAAATATCAACCACAGAGAGAGAAATCTATTTCAGAACAAAAAAAAGCGAAAAACGCTTAAGTCACATGATTGCAAACGTCAAGCTTCACGTGACCCATGTCACGCTGTAACGCCATACAAGTCCGTAACACTGCCAAAAAAGCTCCCCAGGGACAGTTTTATTATGGTTAATTTGCGCTCGGTGCCATAGCAACTGCTGCCATGGCTATCCTACTAGGAGAGGATACCCAATTCTAATATAAATAATATAAATCGATTCACTGCCATTCAATGACCATAAGTTAATTCTAAGGCAGTGTTCAAGTTAATTTTATGCAATGGTTGCTGCAGGTTACATCTTTCTGCAGAAAATGGCATCTTGAGTAAAATAAACACGTTTCGCGTGAACATCTATAAACCCATGCTTTTCCAGGAGATGCTTGAATTCTGGAGTTGATCTCTCTTTTCCACCTGTGGACACCAACATTAGAAGGCTGAAAATGAGAGAAGGCAATGGACCACGTTTGTCTTCGTTTAAAATCCGTTCGCAAATGAGGAGTCCCCCACCTAGAAAAATAAATGAGGTATGAAAAATGGCGCGTTGTTTGCCTTTGATGGCACCAGAGTAGCCTAAATCTCAGACGATTACTTCCAGTCGTTTTTAGTCCCTCAGTTACTGAGGCAGTTAAAACGTCTCCAACATTGTCGAAGTAATCGCCTGAAATGATAGATGATTGGTCATACAATAATCTTATGTGCCATTTCTATATGCACTGTCAACCGTCACCGTGTAGTCTGCATACTAGATTAAAACACCTTTTGTTACCAAAGCACTTCTTCATCAGTCAGTTCGCGGGCTCATTTCGCTTAAAGACTTAAGACCGTGAATTCAGAATCAAAGTTCGTTTTGGTTACAATTCATGAGGGAAAAAACATTGTAAAGCTGTTACAGCGTTTCTTGTAAGTTTGGAGTTTAATATGGGTGTGTTAAGTGTTTTGCGGTCACAAAGCCACGATTTTTGACGCTCGCGTGTAGGATTTCATTCACATCGATCATTTACAGCTTTCCTGTTTGAACTGTAATCCTTGATGCCCTCTCAGTTTGTAATTAAACGAGAGACATAATAAACCTTGTTTTCTTGATCCGAACTGTAAGTTACGTGCGGCACCTAGTATTTTCTGCTTGGATTTAATTTCATGCACGTACTTCCGTACGTGCGTGCTGGATCCGTTAAAGAACGGTAAAACCTTCTTTCTATTAAAATTACCTGAGGGTAAGCACTTGTAAACATTTGAAAGAATCAAGTCAACTTTATCCTCTGACCAGTCGTGGAGAACGTGAGACAACACATACAGCTCAGCCTTCGGTATGGTTTCAGGTTTGAAGAAATCGCCGACCGCAAATGAAACATTGGCTTGATTTGGGCATGCTTCCACTGATGGTCGGAAGTGATGGGCTAAACTCACGGCTGGCTCCAAGTCACAAACTGTTATCTTCATTTCAGGGTAGAACTGACAGAGAGCATAGGCGAGAGTTCCCACAGCCCCTAGAGCAGAGAGAAATATGGAATTTTAAATTTCCATTTCATAGATCGTTTGCTGTTTACAACATTTACAACTAATTTTCCGAAAATCTTGCTTGGATAGAATTTTTGTGTAAACCCAGCGAAAAATTCTTGGCAGACACGTAACCTCCAAAAAGGTAGCCTTGTTTCCCCCATCGGGAATGTTAAAAACGGTAATTAACGCGTTTCTCCATCTCTATCTTATTTCTGTTGAAGGCTGTTGTGGCCATTTTTCTGGTAAATAGGAGCGATTTACACAATTTCTTAACGGATTTTGAACAGGAGTCAGACTTGCGAATCGTAATAACTTTGTCCCATCTCAGAGCTTTACATGATGCTCTCCGGGACACTTTTCTCAAGGTGACTGCTAAGCGGCACCGAAACCAGCTTTAGGCGCGCGCTGATTTCAAATAACTGTCACTTGTGTTAAAGAAAGAATTGTAGGTAAGGAAAAAAATCGGGAGGGGGGGGTAAGATAGTAATTCAGTCTACATCTACTTCTACACGGATCCCTAGCCACAAAACAAGCAAAAAAAAAAAACGACATAACCAACCAACACAGTAAACATATGTCAAGCTATTAGACAGGGGAAGTTGCGAAAAATTACAAATGTGTGCTAACCCGGTTTTCATAACTCCAACTAGACATAAACAGACCAGAATCTTACTTTTCCATTTAAAAAACATGAAATATTCGGCGGCGTTGCCCATGTTTCTAATATGGCGCGAAAACTTACTTTCATATGACAACATGCGGGCTTTTTTTTTTCGCACGCTCAGGAGCCCGGTCAAAGGGATGTGATTTTGCATGAAAAAAACATTCACAAAATTCTGCTTGACTTGTTAAGAAAATAATTTAACTAACAGCTCATTGATTTATTAATTTGGGCGACCAACTTGGAGGCCGGGGCATCCCAGCTAAGAATGCTTGGGGAGCCCGAAAGGCTCCCTGAAATTTTCCCTAGAGCACAGCCTTGCACCCCTGTAGTTATTGAAAGTATGATACATTACATGCTATTGTTGAATGTGGAAGTGCATTTTTTGAGGATATTAGTAAAGGAATGCAAATTTTGGTGAACTACCCCATACTCCTAACATATATGGTGGTAATATTGATGTAAGTTTTGTTTTGAGTAGCAAAGGAACCCTTGTGTGTAACTCATCTTCTAGTGTATTAGTCCTTAACAGAACATCTCCGTCTCTCCTTCACACATTTGTTGCATGCAGTACTCAACTTGCCATTGCCATTCAACATATTGGTAATTCTTTGTTACACCAACACATCCCGCGTAAGCGCCTTCGGGCGTCTTCTTGTTGATCGTGGTTTCTTTATATTGCTCGTTCAGAAGAGGTGGAATAAACTTCAGCCAGTATTGTTTTCACAGCGCTGACAGGCAAAGGTTTAAAAATATCGTGTGATGTATTCGAACTTTCCGTTTTTTGACTTACCTCCTAGATCACAGCAGCTTCTGTACGCGCTTAGATCAATGGCTTTAGCAGCAGCATAACTTGCATAGAGTGAATTACAATGCATGGCCCCCATGAACCGTAATTTGGCTTCTTCGGTGTTACAAAAATTGGGAAACCTTTCTTCTGCAGACATTCCAAACGTCTTCTTCCACTACGTAGTTCCTTCAAGAACTGCGCTTTCTAAATTTCCAAAGATAGTATACAGCGTTTTGTTTGTAAATGCGATCATATCTAGATACGAATATGGACTGTCTTTGGTGAGAAATTTAGTGGCCATTTCAGAATTACTGTACAACCACTGGTCACCCTGTTTGAATTTTTCTAGCAATTCCATTGCCACAAGGGTGTCCATGAGACGTGTAGTGGCGTCTAGATCGGAGGACAATGCCTTTGTTATGTCGTCGGCCGATTGTGGTGAGGATGCGGATCGCAGTTTGTCGAAGACCAGTCCAATTCACATGCTGCAAATAGCGCTTTAGACAGACGAAAACCGTCTATTAGCCTATAAAGCTTCTCTGGGATAGGAGAAGGAACTTGAAATTTTTTTGTTTCGCTCATTTTGTCTTTTTTTTTTTTGAGAAATACGCGAGCTGTTATCCCGAACGCTATCTGTTATTCACTGCGAGCAATGAAATCCGGGCCACCTAATTGACGCTAGTAAAAAAGCTTCTGCCCTCAACGTCATTTAAGTCTTAAAATGGGGACGAATAAATTAACACGGAATCCATCATGGGAGCCCGAGAAAATAAATGTCAAATTTTACAAGAATTGTGAAAACCTAGGTAAAATTCTGAAAATTTCATGTGTAAGATGTCATTTTGTGCAATTTGACATACGTTTTCTAGGGCTTCCATAAGAAATTTTCGTTGGTGTTATTACAGATAACTAATTACATCTATAGCCCTTGAAAAATGTCAAAAAGAATGCCATATTGTTTAAATTATTCTGGTACAAGGTTTTTGTCCACTGAAAATTAAAATTACTCAATTTCCTTAAAGTAACTGGATTCTAACCGGCTCAGCATGTTTGGCTATTGCATGATCAGCTTGATATGCTATCGTGTAATACCCCGTGCCCCGAATCATGTGTGAAACAACCAGTTCCATTTAGCTTTAATTCGTCACTCCCTTGAAAGTATATTTCTTCACATGTTCATATTTTAGAATTCTGTACTCTGTTTTACACTTAAAGAATTCATGGACATCAATTCGCGTACAATTTCGATGATCTACCAGGCGCGGATCTAGGATAAATACTGACCGATTTCCTAAACAAGGGGCCGAGAGAGCAAGCTTCTAGGGTAGCCCGGGGACATGCACCCCCGGGAATTTTTTTGGATACTAGCTCCCTAAAGTTCCCTTTCTCGGGTTTCTGATTCATTAGGGGGAGAAGGGCATCAAATTCCCAGAAACTGGAAAAAGAAAACATTTGTCCAGACCATTTTCCAGATTTCAACTTGGAAAGTTCTTTTTATTAAAAATACGTTTCTTATGAAAAATCTGACCGATTTCCGTAAAACGGTGCAAACCGGTGTGGATGCGGGCCTGTCTACACTCAATCTACACACTCGATCAGCTCCACGACTCTGAATGACTACACAGTTCCTAGAATCATGCACAAAGTTCAGTTTTCAGATCACGTGACTAGTTTTCCCGCTACGATGACGCAATAATTTCCTAACCGGCCCCGTGGGCGCCCTTTGAAAGGCCCCGTTTAGAGAGAAAAGTTGTCTAATGGGAAAGAGGTTAAGCCTGCCAGCCTCCCAGTCAACCCAGGGCGCTTTCCATTTGTCAGAACTGACTGGCCAGCTTATTCCCATCGTAATGGGAATTTCACTTTTAATCAACAGTAACCATCCAGATCAGTCAAATCCTACACATTATGCTCAAAGGAGATGGTTTTTCAGCAAATCCTCTTGGAAAAGGCCTGTTTCATTTCCAAAATGCCTGGTCTGACCATGGTCCGGCCGGCCAGTTCTGACTTATGGAAAGCGCCGTTAGGTTATGTTCACACTACACCGGGATGGCTTTTCGTGGCGCCACGCAAAGCTATCAGTTATAGTGTGAACATCTATCCATTATGTGACTCTCCTCTTTAGAGATCGGCGCGGCGCAGCGTCGCTCCGTCACAGAAATCGCGCCACAACCGTTCTTGTGTGTGACTGAGAAGCCCCATCCGGTATGATTTTCATGGCGTCCGGTATAGTACCCGAGCCAAGAGCTGATAACAGCGTTAGTGCATTTTAACGACGCGAAGGCAACGAGAAGGTCGCTTAAAAAGTGAATTTTGACTGAATGTAGGGGAACCCAACTGGACTCGAATTCCTAGGGACCCTATCTAAGTTCAGAAAGAGAAATAAAATGTCGTCGTTGCTTGTTTACGTTCTCCATAAGGGACCGGTCATTATTTATCGCCTGGGGGTGGGGGATTTTTGTTGCGACAACTGAGCACTTACGTGATCCCCCCTTAAAGGATACAGTGTGGTTTTGACCCCCCCACATTGGCGGTGGAAGACTTCGTGATTCCCCCTCTTTGGTCATCTGATATGAACTGAATTGTTTGTCAAGAGTTACTCTTCTCATCCAAATCGTTGAAAACAAAGTCATTGTCTCTCTCGTCCTTCCCACTGTCGAATTCTTCCTCATATTCTTCATCCCCTGATTCCCCGTCACTTTCATCTTTTGCACCGCACGATTCGTCTGTGTTCAAAGACTCTTTGATGTGTCGGTAGTAGTGACAGGGAATAGCTTTTACTTTTACTTTACTTCCGACCGATAGTAGTCAATCCGTGTATGTGTTGAGACAACACATACAATTCAGCCTTTGGTATGGAGTCAGGTTTGAAGACTGAATCGCCGACCCCAAAGGAAACACTAGGGAGCTTTAGCAACGACGACGGCGACGGCAAAGAGGACGTCAAAAAAGCAATAGGTTTGTTACGCAAAACAACAACTTTGCACGTCCATCACGCTTTTTTGTGCATTTCTTTACCGTCCTTTAATTGCGCGACCACGACGTGAAAATGCCTAATTGCAAGTTTTATGGAGGACGTAAACAAGCGACGACGAATCTCTTTTTCTCTCTCTAAACTTGAGTGCGGTCCTCAAGAAATCAATTGCAGGGAAATTCGCCCGCACTTGCCATTTTCAGCAAATTGGAATAAACGCGACAAAGATTGAAAAAACGGGACTTCTTTTTAAAACTGGCTTTTTCGCTGCAGTTACCGTCGTCGATGCTAAAGCTGCTTATTGGCTTGATTTGGGCAAGCTTCAACTGATGGTCGGAAGTGATGAGCTAAAATCAAGGCTGACTCCAAGTCACAAACTATATTATCTTCATTTCAGGATAATACTGACAGAAAGGATAGCCAAGAGTCATGTACCGAACCTAACTGATGATTTGGGTACGGCAAAAGAGCGGTGTCTGAATCAATTTGGTACGGCAGTTTTAGTTTGGTGCGGCAAAAGTTCGACAGAGTCTGTCAAAATTTTGTCGAACTTTACTTAGGCTCGACACACGGTACTCCGTCTGAATCAGATGTCGCACCATAGTACGGCGTCTGAGCCAGGCCTAAATGATACCCCATCTAAGGGAGGGACCATTAGAAAACTTTTTTTGGGGGGGAAGAGGGGGCGGGCCAAGTACCAAAAAAATATTCGCGCAAGGGAATATTAAATGAAAAAAATTCATTCACGCCAATTAACCCTAAAAGATATTCATGCAACGGCCTAAAAAAAATTCATACAAGGAATTTGATAACGAAAAAAAATTCCTGCGGCTCGAAAATTCCCGACCACCCCCCACCCCCATAACTTTTCTAGTGGTCCGTCCCTGAATCAAAATTATGTTTTTCATTTCCTGTTAATGATTAAGTTGCCTGTAAGAGAAGGTAACGCTTTATAGGGCATTAGTCGCTGGTTTTGAAGAATTCAAAGGATCTTAAGGTTCACATCAATAAATATCAACCACACAGAGAGAAATTTATTTCAGAACAGGAAAAAGCGAAAAACGCTTAAGTCACATGATTGCAAACATCAAGTTTCACGTGACTGATGTCACGCTGTAACGCCATACAAGTCCGCAACACTGCCAGAAAAGCTCCCTGAGGGGCAGTTTTATTATGGTTAATTTGCGCTCGGTGCCATAGCAACCATAGCCACTGCTACCATGGCTATCCTACTAGGAAAGGATACCCAATTCTAATGTAATGTAAATCGTTTCACTGGCATTCAATGACCATAAGTCAATCGTAAGGCAGTGTTCAACTTAATTTTATGCAGTGGTTGCTGCAGGTTACATCTTTCTGCAGAAAATGGCATCTTGAGTAAAATAAACATGTTTCGCTTGAACATCTATAAACCCATGCTTTTCTAGGAGATGCTTGTACTCTGAAGCTGATCTCTCTTTTCCACCTGTGCACACCAACATTAGAAGGCTGTAAATGAGAGAAGGCAATGGGCCACGTTTGTCTTCGTTTAAAATCCGTTCGCAAATGAGGAGTCCACCACCTACAAAAATAAAAGAGCTATGAAAAATGGTGCGTTGTTTGCCTTTTTATGGCAAAAGAGTAACCTGAATTTCAGACGATTACATTGAGTCCTTTTTAATCCCTCAGTTACTGAGGGAGTTAAAAAGTCTAAACCTTATATGCCATTTCTATATGCACTGTCAACCGTCACTGTGTAGGCTACATACTAGATTAAAACGCCCTTTGTTACCAAAGCACTTCTTCATCAGTCAGTTCGAGGGCTCGTTTCACTTGAAGACTAAAGACCGTGAATTCAGAATGAAAGTTCGTTTTGCTTACAATTCATGAGCGAAGAACATTTTAAAGCTGTTACGGCGTTTCTTGTAAGATTGGACTTTAATATGGGTGTGTTAAGTGTTTTGCCGTCACAAAGCCACGATTTTTGACGCTCGTGTGTAGGATTTCACTCACATCGATCATTTACAGCTTTCCTGCTTGAACTGTAATCCTCGATGCCCTCTCAGTCTGTAATTTAACCAGAGACATAATAAACTCCGTTTTCTTGATCCTCACGTAACTGTAAGTTACATGCGGAACCTAGTATTTTCTGCTTGGATTTAATTATGGCCCTTGACGCCGTACGCACGTACTTCCGTACGTGCGTGCTGGATCCCTTAAAGAACGGTAAAACCTTCTTTCTATTAAAATTACCTGAGGGTAAGCACTTGTAGACATTTGAAAGAATCAAGTCAACTTTATCCTCTGACCAGTCTTGGAGAACGTGAGACAACACATACAGTTCAGCCTTTGGTATGGTTTCAGGTTTGAAGAAATCGCCGACCGCAAAAGAAACATTGGCTTGATTTGGGCAAGCTTCCACTGATGGTTGGAAGTGATGGGCTAAACTCACGGCTGGCTCCAAGTCACAAACTGTTATCTTCATTTCAGGGTAGAACTGACAGAGAGCATAGGCTAGAGTGCCCACAGCCCCTAGAGCAGGGAGAAATAGGGAATTTTAAAAGTCCATTTCAGCAAACAGAGTCATAGATCGTTTGCAGTTTACCACATTTACAACTAATTTTCCGAAAATCTTGCTTGGATAGAATTTTTGTGTAAACCCAGCGAAAAATTCTTGGCAGACACGTGACCTCCAAAAAGGTAGCCGTGTTTTCCCCATCCGGGATGTTAAAAACGGAAGTTAACGCGTTTCTCCATCTCTATCTTATTTCTAATTTAAGGCTGTTGTGGCCATTTTTCTGGTAAATAGGAGCGATTTTCCCAATTTCTTAACGGAATTTGAACAGAAGTCTTGAATTTTATTTAATGCGAACCCTTACGACTGGTTTTTCTACGTAAATGGGCATGTGGACAGTTCCATAGAGCGCAAGCTTGTCCTCTAATTTGAAGAGATAAATAAATAAATGAATAAACGGAGATTATAACAATGTTTTTTACTATAGAGTTTCGTGTTATAAATTATCTCTACTAAATTGGCCTAAGTATCCCCCGCTAGGGCTGCGAGCGTAATTAAAATGGGACAGCAGTTTAAGAAAAGAAGAATAAGATACATTTGAAATGAAAATCTGACTATATTATGCAAATTCCTTAAGACATTTTTCTTGGCTCAAAATTTCTCTATGTTATTGCATTCAGTCGACTATTAATTTAGTTTAGCCGCTGTGAGACCAAACGCGGTTTCGTTCTTTTTGATCGCGGTTTCTTTATATTGCTCGTTCAGAAGAGGTGGAATAAACTTCAGCCAGTATTGTTTTCACAGTGCTGACAGGCAAAGGTTTTTCCATTTCAGTCTTACATTTCTTATAAAAATGGCGTGTGATGTATACGAACGTTCCGTTTTTTGACTTACCTCCTAGATCACAGCAGCTTCTGTACGCGCTTAGATCAATGGCTTTAGCAGCAGCATAACTTCCATAGAGGTAATTACAATGCATGGCACCCATGAACCGTAATTTGGCTTCTTCGGTGTTATAAAGGTTCGCAAAACTTTCCTCTGTAGACATTCCAAACGTCCTCTTCCACTGTGTAGTTCCCTCGCGAACGGCGGTTTCTAAATTTCCAAAGATAGGATACATCATTTTGTTTATTAATGCGATCATATCCAGATGCGAATCTGGACTGTCTTTGGTGAGAAATTTAGTGGCCATTTCAGAATTACTGTACAACCACTGGTCACCCTGTTTGAATTTTTCTAGCAATTCCATTGCCACAAGGGTGTCCATGAGACGTGTAGTGGCGTCCAGATCGGAGGACAATGCCCTTGTTATTTCGTCGGCCGATTGTGGTACGGATGCGGTGCGCAGTTTGTCGAAGATACTCAATTCACACGCTGCAAATAGCGCTTTAGACAGACGAAAACCGTCTATTAGCCTATGAAGCTTCTCTGGCATAGGAGAAGGAACTTGAAATTTTTTTGTTTCGGTCATTTTGTCTTTTTTTTTTTTAGAAATACGCGAGCTGTTATCTCGAACTCTATGTGTGATACACTGCGAGCAGTGAAATGCGGGCCACCTAATTGACGCTAGTAAAAAAGCTTCTGCCCTCAACGTCATTTAATTCTTAAAATGGGGACGAATAAATTAACACGGAAGTCATCAAGAAATTGTGTAATTTCAACTTTCGGTGGACAAAAACCTTGTACCAGAATAATTTACACAATACCGCATTCTTTTTACATAGATATACACTCTTTTTTTTTTATAAGAATGTTGTTTTCCCGGGCCAGGCTGAATATTCTTATTTTTCCGCCGATTTTAGGCTTTAAATATTCTTGTATTATTCTTAATAATAGCTTATGACATTTCCGTTTTAGAGTATATTAAGGTATCAATTATAGTTTTGTTAAATATAGTTAGCTAGTTTTGCCTTTTAAAGAAAGGAATAAATTGAAAACGTATATTTGTATTGTATTTACAGATTTTCACCACACGAAATTATATTCTTTTCAAAATCTCAGCCTGGAGTTTATTCTTAAAGTATTCTTAAGATTTCGCAAATTTCAGCCTCGATATTCTTATAATATATATTCTTATAGAAAAAAAAGAGAGTAATTTATTATCTGTAATAACACCAAAGACTATTTCTCAAGGGAACCCGAGAAAATAAATGTCAAATTTCACAAGAATTGTGAAAACATAGGTAAAACGCTGAAAATTTCATGTGTAAGATGTCATTTTGTGCAATTTGACATACGTTTTCTCGGGCTTCCAGAAGAAATTTTCTTTGGTGTTATTACAGATAACTAATTACATCTATAGCCCTTGAAAAATGTCAAAAAGAATGCAATATTGTTTAAATTATTCTGGTACAAGGTTTTTGTCCACTGAAAATTAAAATTACTCAATTTCCTGATGGATTGGATTCTAACCGGCTCAGCATACCGATTAGCTATTGCGTGATCAGCTTGATATGCTGTCGTGTAATACCCCGTGTCACGAATCATGTGAGAAACAGCCAGTTCCATTTTGCTTTAATTCGTCACTACCTTGAAAGTATATTTCTTCACATGTTCATATTTTAGAATTCTGTACTCTGTTTTACACTTAAAGAAACACTCAATCTACACACTCGATCAGCTCCACCACTCCGAATGACTACACCGTTCCTAGACTCTTGTACAAAGTTCAGTTTTCTGTTCACGTGACGAGTTTTCCCGCTACAATGACGCAATAATTTCCGAACACCCCGCGGGCGCCCTTTGTAAGGCCCCGTTTAGAGAGAAACGTTGTCTAATGGGAAAGAGGGTAAGCTTGCGAGTCTCCCAGTCAACCCAGGGCGCTTTCCATTTGTCAGAACTGACTGGCCAGCCCATTCTCATCGTAATGAGAATTTCACTTTTAATCAATAGTAACCATAAACAGCAGTCAAATCCTACACATTATGCTCAAACGAGATGGTTTTGTCAGCAAATCCTCTTGGAAAACGTCTATTTCATTTCCAAAATGCCTGGTCTGGCCATGGTCCGGCCGGCCAGTTCTGACTTATGAAAAGCGCCGTTAGGTTATGTTCACACTACACCGGGATGGCTTTCTCGTGGCGCCACGAAAAACTATCAGTTATAGTGTGAACATCTATCCGATATCTCACTCTCCTCTTCAGAGATCGGCGCGGCGCAGCTTCGCCCCGTCACAGAAATCACGCCACAACTGTTCTTATGTGTGAACGGGAGCCCAAGCCGGTATGATTTTCATGGCGTCCAGTATAGTGCCGGAGCCAAGAGCTGATAACAGCGTTAGTGCATGCTCTAATAATTAGTCACGTTAAAACGACGCGACAGCAACGAGAAGGTCGCTTAAAAAGTGAATTTGTACTCTTTTTTATTCATACCCACTGACTTTGACTGAATGTAGGTGAACCCAACTGGACTTGAATTCCTAGGGACCCTATCTAAGTTCAGAAAGAGAAATAAAATTTCGTCGTTGCTCGTTCGCGTTCCGCATAAGGGACCGGTCATCATTTATCGCCTTGAGGATTTTTGTTGCGACAGCGGAGCACTTACGTTATCTCCCCTTAAAGCATGCAGTGTGGGTTTGATCCCCCCACATTGACGGTAAAAGATTTTCTGATGCCCCCTCTTCTATCCCGGCCACCACAAAAGCCAGTGTTAATATATGTAAGCCAGTGACATCTATATTAATACTTAACCTAGAACAACAACTTCACATATTTGGTCATGTGATATGAACTGAATCGTCTGATGGTCCGTCCCTAAATCAAAATTAAGCTGCCTAGTCGCTGGTTTTAAGGAATTTAAAGGATCTTAAGGTTCCACATCGATAAATATCAACCACAGAGAGAGAAATTCATTTCAGAACAGGAAAAAGCGAAAAACGCTTAAGTCACATAATTGCAAACGTCAATTTTCACGTGACCCATTTCACGCTGTAACGCCATACAAGTCCGTAACACTGCCAAAAAAGCTCCCCAGGGGCAGTTTTATTATGGTTAATTTGCGCTCGGTGCCATAGCAACTGCTGCCATGGCTATCCTACTAGGAAAGGATACCCAATTCTAATGTAAATAATATAAATCGATTCACTGGCATTCAATGACCATAAGTCAATTGTAAGGCAGTGTTCAACTTAATTTTATGCAATGGTTGCTGCATGTTACATCTTTCTGCAGAAAATGGCATCTTGAGTAAAATAAACACGTTTCGCTTGAACATCTATAAACCCATGCTTTTCCAGGAGATGCTTGAATTCTGGAGCTGATCTCTCTTTTCCACCTGTGGACACCAACATTAGAAGGCTGAAAATGAGAGAAGGCAATGGGCCACGTTTGTCTTCGTTTAAAATCCGTTCGCAAATGAGGAGTCCCCCACCTAGAAAAATAAATGAGGTATGAAAAATGGCGCGTTGTTTGCCTTTGATGGCACCAGAGTAGCCTAAATCTCAGACGATTACTTCCAGTCGTTTTTAGTCCCTCAGTTACTGAGGCAGTTAAAACGTCTCCAACATTGTCGAAGTAATCGCCTGAAATGATAGATGATTGGTCATACAATAATCTTATGTGCCATTTCTATATGCACTGTCAACCGTCACCGTGTAGTCTGCATACTAGATTAAAACACCTTTTGTTACCAAAGCACTTCTTCGTCAGTCAGTTCGCGGGCTCATTTCGCTTAAAGACTAAAGACCGTGAATTCAGAATTAAAGTTCGTTTTGGTTACAATTCATGAGGGAAAAAACATTGTAAAGCTGTTACGGCGTTTCTTGTAAGTTTGGAGTTTAATATGGGTGTGTTAAGTGTTTTGCGGTAACAAAGCCACGATTTTTGACGCTCGCGTGTAGGATTTCATTCACATCGATCATTTACAGCTTTCCTGTTTGAACTGTAATCCTTGATGCCCTCTCAGTTTGTAATTAAACGAGAGACATAATAAACCTTGTTTTCTTGATCCGAACTGTAAGTTACGTGCGGAACCTAGTATTTTCTGCTTGGATTTAATTTCATGCACGTACTTCCGTACGTGCGTGCTGGATCCCTTAAAGAACGGTAAAACCTTCTTTCTATTAAAATTACCTGAGGGTAAGCACCTGTAGACATTTGAAAGAATCAAGTCAACTTTATCCTCTGACCAGTCGTGGAGAACGTGAGACAACACATACAGCTCAGCCTTCGGGATGGTTTCAGGTTTGAAGAAATCGCCGACCGCAAATGAAACATTGGCTTGATTTGGGCAAGCTTCCACTGATGGTCGGAAGTGATGAGCTGAAGTTACGACTGGCTCCAAGTCACAAACTGTTATCTTCATTTCAGGGTAGAACTGACAGAGAGCATAGGCGAGAGTTCCCACAGCCCCTAGAGCAGAGAGAAATATGGAATTTTAAATTTCCATTTCATAGATCGTTTGCTGTTTACCACATTTACAACTAATTTTCCGAAAATCTTGCTTGGATAGAATTTTTGTGTAAACCCAGCGAAAAATTCTTGGCAGACACGTAACCTCCAAAAAGGTAGCCTTGTTTTCCCCATCGGGAATGTTAAAAACGGTAATTAACGCGTTTCTCCATCTCTATCTTATTTCTGTTGAAGGCTGTTGTGGCCATTTTTCTGGTAAATAGGAGCGATTTACACAATTTCTTAACGGATTTTGAACAGGAGTCAGACTTGCGAATCGTAATAACTTTGTCCCATCTCAGAGCTTTACATGATGTTCTCCGGGAAACTTTTCTCAAGGTGACTGCTAAGCGGCACCGAAACCAGCTTTAGGCGCGCGCTGATTTCAAATAACTGTCACTTGTGTTAAAGAAAGAATTATAGGTAAGGGAAAAAATCGGGAGGGGGGGGTAAGATAGTAATTCAGTCTACATCTACTTCTACACGGATCCCTAGCCACAAAACAAGCAAAAAAAAAAACGACATAACCAACCAACACAGTAAACATATGTCAAGCTATTAGACAGGGGAAGTTGCGAAAAATTACAAATGTGTGCTAACCCGGTTTTCATAACTCCAACTAGACATAAACAGACCAGAATCTTACTTTTCCATTTAAAAAACATGAAATATTCGGCGGCGTTGCCCATGTTTCTAATATGGCGCGAAAACTTGCTTTCATATGACAACATGCGGGGTTTTTTTTTTTCGCACGCTCAGGAGCCCAGTCAAAGGGATGTGATTTTGCATGAAACAAATATTCACAAAATTCTGCTTGACTTGTTAAGAAAACAATTTAACTAACAGCTCATTGATTTATTAATTTGGGCGACCAACTTGGAGGCCCGGGCATCCCAGCTAAGAATGCTTGGGGAGCCCGAAAGGCTCCCTGAAATTTTCCCTAGAGCACAGCCTTGCACCCCTGTAGTTATTGAAAGTATGATACATTACATGCTATTGTTGAATGTGGAAGTGCATTTTTTGAGGATATTAGTAAAGGAATGCAAATTTTAGTGAACTACCCCATACTCCTAACATATATGGTGGTAATATTGATGTAAGTTTTGTTTTGAGTAGCAAAGGAACCCTTGTGTGTAATTCATTTTCTAGTGTATTAGTCCTTAACAGAACATCTCCGTCTCTCCTTTCACACATTTGTTGCATACACTACTCAACTTGCCATTGCCATTCAACATATTGGTAATTCTTTCTTACACCAACACATCCCGCGTAAACGCCTTCGGGCGTCTTCTTGTTGATCGTGGTTTCTTTATATTGCTCGTTCAGAAGAGGTGGAATAAACTTCAGCCAGTATTGTTTTCACAGTGCTGACAGGCAAAGGTTTAAAAATATCGTGTGATGTATTCGAACTTTCCGTTTTTTGACTTACCTCCTAGATCACAGCAGCTTCTGTACGCGCTTAGATCAATGGCTTTAGCAGCAGCATAACTTGCATAGAGTGAATTACAATGCATAGCCCCCATGAACCGTAATTTGGCTTCTTCGGTGTTACAAAAATTGGGAAACCAGTCTTCTGCAGACATTCCAAACGTCTTCTTCCACTGCGTAGTTCCTTCAAGAACTGCGCTTTCTAAATTTCCAAAGATAGGATACAGCGTTTTGTTTGTAAATGCGATCATATCTAGATACGAATCTGGACTGTCTTTGGTGAGAAATTTAGTGGCCATTTCAGAATTACTGTACAACCACTGGTCACCCTGTTTGAATTTTTCTAGCAATTCCATTGCCACAAGGGTGTCCATGAGACGTGTAGTGGCGTCTAGATCGGAGGACAATGCCTTTGTTATGTCGTCGGCCGATTGTGGTGAGGATGCGGATCGCAGTTTGTCGAAGACTTCCAATTCACATGCTGCAAATAGCGCTTTAGACAGACGAAAACCGTCTATTAGCCTATAAAGCTTCTCTGGGATAGGAGAAGGAACTTGAAATTTTTTTGTTTCGCTCATTTTGTCTTTTTTTTTTTGAGAAATACGCGAGCTGTTATCCCGAACGCTATGTGTTATTCACTGCGAGCAATGAAATCCGGGCCACCTAATTGACGCTAGTAAAAAAGCTTCTGCCCTCAACGTCATTTAAGTCTTAAAATGGGGACGAATAAATTAACACGGAATCCATCATGGGAGCCCGAGAAAATAAATGTCAAATTTTACAAGAATTGTGAAAACATAGGTAAAATTCTGAAAATTTCATGTGTAAGATGTCATTTTGTGCAATTTGACATACGTTTTCTAGGGCTTCCATAAGAAATTTTCGTTGGTGTTATTACAGATAACTAATTACATCAATAGCCCTTGAAAAATGTCAAAAAGAATGCCATATTGTTTAAATTATTCTGGTACAAGGTTTTTGTCCACTGAAAATTAAAATTACTCAATTTCCTTAAAGTAACTGGATTCTAACCGGCTCAGCATGTTTGGCTATTGCATGATCAGCTTGATATGCTATCGTGTAATACCCCGTGCCCCGAATCATGTGTGAAACAACCAGTTCCATTTAGCTTTAATTCGTCACTCCCTTGAAAGTATATTTCTTCGCATGTTCATATTTTAGAATTCTGTACTCTGTTTTACACTTAAAGAATTCATGGACATCAATTCGCGTACAATTTCGATGATCTACCAGGCGCGGATCTAGGATAAATACTGACCGATTTCCTAAACAAGGGGCCGAGAGAGCAAGCTTCTAGGGGAGCCCGGGGACATGCACCCCCGGGAATTTTTTTGGATACTAGCTCCCTAAAGTTCGCTTTCCCGGGTTTCTGATTCATTGGAAGGGGGGGGGGGGGGGAGAAGGGCATCAAATTCCCAGTAACTGGAAAAAGAAAACATTTGTCCAGACCATTTTCCAGATTTCAACTTGGAAAGTTCTTTTTATTAAAAATAAGTTTCTTATGAAAAATCTGACCGATTTCCGTAAAACGGTGGAAACCGGTGTGGATCCGGGCTTGTCTACACTCAATCTACACACTCGATCAGCTCCACGACTCTGAATGACTACACAGTTCCTAGAATCTTGCACAAAGTTCAGTTTTCAGATCACGTGACTAGTTTTCCCGCTACAATGACGCAATAATTTCCTAACACCCCGCGGGCGCCCTTTGAAAGGCCTCGTTTAGAGAGAAAAGTTGTCTAATGGAAAAGAGGTTAAGCCTGGCAGCCTCCCAGTCAACCCAGGGCGCTTTCCATTTGTCAGAACTGACTGGCCAGCTTATTCCCATCGCAATGGGAATTTCACTTTTAATCAACAGTAACCATTCAGATCAGTCAAATCCTACACATTATGCTCAAAGGAGATGGTTTTTCAGCAAATCCTCTTGGAAAAGGCCTGTTTCATTTCCAAAATGCCTGGTCTGACCATGGTCCGGCCGACCAGTTCTGACTTATGGAAAGCGCCGTTAGGTTATGTTCACACTACACCGGGATGGCTTTTCGTGGCGCCACGCAAAGCTATCAGTTATAGTGTGAACATCTATCCATTATGTGACTCTCCTCTTTAGAGATCGGCGCGGCGCAGCGTCGCTCCGTCACAGAAATCGCGCCACAACCGTTCTTGTGTGTGAACAGAAGCCCCATCCGGTATGATTTTCATGGCGTCCGGTAAAGTACCCGAGCCAAGAGCTGATAACAGCGTTAGTGCATTTTAACGATGCGAAGGCAACGAGAAGGTCGCTTAAAAAGTGAATTTTGACTGAATGTAGGGGAACCCAACTGGACTCGAATTCCTAGGGACCCTATCTAAGTTCAGAAAGAGAAATAAAATGTCGTCGTTGCTTGTTTACGTTCTCCATAAGGGACCGGTCATTATTTATCGCCTGGGGGTGGGGGATTTTTGTTGCGACAACTGAGCACTTACGTGATCCCCCTTAAAGGATACAGTGTGGTTTTGACCCCCCATTTGGCGGTGGAAGACTTCGTGATTCCCCCTCTTTGGTCATCTGATATGAACTGAATTGTCTGTCAAGAGTTACTCTTCTCATCCAAATCGTTGAAAACAAAGTCATTGTCTCTCTCGTCCTCCCCTGTCGAATTCTTCCTCATATTCTTCATCCCCTGATTCCCCGTCACTTTCATCTTTTGCACCACACGATTAGTCTGTGTTCACAAACTCTTTGATGTGTCGGTAATAATGACATCGAACAGCTTTTACTTTGTCAAGTATCCGACGGCAGTCCGTATTCTTTCAGGTAGAAGTCAAGTTCTTTTACCCCGGGCTTTAACCTTAAATTTTTCGATCTTGCCACTTTCAATAAGGGTGTTCCATTTGAAGTTGTCCGTTCCACCTCTTACCTCTTTCGTTCCCCAGCTTATAGAGAAGACCATGAAAAACTTCAAGAAGCCTCAAAAGTGTGATGCACATCCAGAGTTGTGGTTGTGCGTTGTAAAGCTTTTTTTCTTTGACGTTCTTGTTGCTGTCGCGTCTTTGGATCTAAGTTTTGATAGATGTTCTCAATGGGGTGGTAGCTTTGACGGTTGACGGTTATTTAGTGAAAAGTTGTGTATCCCAAGAGTTAATATAAAGAAAATATTAACTTCTGTATAAATCAATATTAAACGTTGTGTTTTGGAGGTTGACTTAGCCTTTCAAATATAAAATTTCGAAATACTTTACTAGAGATATAAGAAAGTTGTAAGGTTTTGTAATGTCCAGAGATAGTGTTTTGAGAACATGGCTAGTGCTTTCTCCAGTTAAAAGATGCTTCAGGAGCCAAAAGTCCATGAAGATCAGCTGAAATGGTGAGATTTGAAATACCTCGAGAAACGTTTTGACGGTTAATATTACTCTGCATTTTTGGCAGTGACCGGCAAAAAATAACCTTTTTTGACGGCAGACGGTTACATTTTAGGCCGTTTGACGGCTGACGGTTAACCCTATTGAGACCCTCTTGATATGTACAAACACTGACGCAGCTCGAAGGTTGAGCAGCCGAGCCAAAGTTTTCTTTTTGTTGTAAACTGTTCGCCAAGTTTTGTACGAAAATATAGGAAAAGTTGGCTCATTCTCGTCCCCAGAGCCTCCTGGGGGCCTGAGCACGAGGACCAGGAGGCTCTGGGGACACAGGATTTGAAGTTCTAGATTTTAGGACTTCCGGTCATTTCTGATTCAAAAGTAACTTGGAGGGTTGTCTTTTCAAAGCTTTGAATCAGCTAAATTTTCAGTCATTGACACTTCGGCAAGAGCAAGTGAACACTATTAGAAACGTTGTAGAAAATCAGAAATCAGCGGAAGTCCTAAAATTTCAGCTGAGCTGAGACTACAACTGAGTATACTCAGTCATATTTTGTGATACTTGGAATTATAAAAAAAGATTCTATCAAAGGGGAGAAAAGAGGTGGTCTTTGGTCATTTTGGACAACGAAGGCACTGCCTCTGCCCCAGTCGCTCGCGATCACTTTTTGGGGGATATTTGAGTTAGTAGAGAGATTAAGAGTCACGGCAAACGTCAGATTCAAGTTGAGAGTTTCTCAGAATAGAAAATAAGCAAATAAAAACTGTTCAGGACATTATTACTTCTGTGTAGAAGTAATAAACAGTAAACGACAATTAAGGGGAAAACTTTGTCACGTGGTACAAATTCACGTTTCCCATTAGGCGTAAACGTGAATCTTAATCTCTCTAATTATGAAGGAAAGCACTCCAACACATCTCTCCCTGCTCGCGCTCTGCGCTTGTCCCATCATCCCCCTCTTACGTAGCCTCCACGCGGACGTTCTTAGGGTCGTGAGAGGCTACCTCTCCCGCTTCTCGTTTGTCCCGTGCTCGTTACTAAGCCTTAGGAAAGTCCGTGGAGGAGGCAGACTGTTGGAAGGCTTGTAACTTGAGGAAGGTAGTCCAATTTTCTTTAAGTGAAACCCATTTTCATCCTAGCCATTGAAAGCCAACGAGACACACCTATATCTGAAGATATCTGACGTATACAGTGGTGGAGCAATTTTAAATAAAACTGAAGCATTATTTAAAGCTTTTTTTGTTCCAATGTGTAGCGCTATCCACCTTCCGGGTAAATCACTATCCAGCGGATTAGTATCAGGGAAAACAATTGCGTTATCCGCTGGATAGAGATTTATCCAGTGGCCCATATCCACCTTTTAAACAACTGGCCCCAGATGAGATGACTATTTTAGTCGCGACCTGGGGAGAGAGAAAAGCGCTGGAAAAACGACGGTTAGACGGCAAAGGGAGGCGAGCAAGAAATGAGCGAAGTAACTTCCTGCATTTTATAAAGACAACAGATTGGATACTGCTTTTAGGAAAAGTGGAATAAATCTTACCGTCACAATGAACAGGTAATGTTAACCTTCATCCTACTTCAACCGAGTAAAGACAGTAAACATTTCAGCGCCAGATGTTACAAATTACGTCTGACGTTAGTTTGTATGTAGCCATACCCAGCTGTAACGTGCGAGTCACATCACAGCATAAGAACATGTTTTATTATATTATCAAATGCCACGTGACTGTATAAAAGGCGCACTTTTTAACAAACAGGACTATCTGGTCAAAGTATGTTGCAAATTCTAATGACAATTTTATACCTTGAAACAGTTACATAACATTTAAGTCAACTCGGCCTACAGTATTACCAAACACAATTTTAGCCATGCTCCATTACCTGGAGGCAATGCGTTTATTAATCCCTTACCCAGGATCTTTGGCTTGTCGGTCAGCGGTTGGGAAGACGCCGTACAGGGAATAGGCAAGGTCAGCGGGTGGTCCCTAGAAGGCGTTGATACATTATTGTGCTAGCCTAATTTTTGGCATAATTCATTCTTTCATCTATTTTCGGAAAAAAGCACTGCTAGCACAATTTGAACTTTTCAGTGGCTAGTTTAGAAGCACGAAATTGTCAATTATTGATGATGCAACCATTTTTTCTGGCCCTGTGATCAGTGTAAAAGGCAAATTTAAGTGACAAAATCAATCAATTTTTGTCTACTTATTGTCTCAT